ATGGTGATTCACAATATTTAAAGGTTATATTCCATTTATAGTTATTATAAAAAATTCATTATATTCCCTGTGTTTTTCAGCATATCCTTGTAATTTACTTGTTTTGTACAGCCCAACTGGTTCTTGATAAGAGCGACAAGGTTTTTGACAAGGGTGCACAGCAGAGGAAGGATAGCCTAGCCTTTTCAACAAAGGCTGGATGGCGCTAGATACCAAAGACATTGATCCAAACCTCATACCTTATACAAAAATTAACTCAAAATGAATCATAATTTTAACTGTAAAAGATAAAGTTATTAAACTTTTAGGGAAAAAAGAGAATCTTTGTAACCTTGCAATCTTAGATTTAAAAGCATATACATAAAAGGAAAAACTGATAAAGTGGACCCCAGCAAAATTAAGAACTTTTCCTCTGTGAAAGACCTTGTTAAAAGGATTGAAAAGCAAGTTACAGACTGGAGAAAATACATATCTGGCAAAGGGCTTATATCTGGAATTTATATTTTTTTAAACTTTCAAAGCTCTACATCAGGAAAATAGTTCAGTTAGAAAATGGGCAAAATACATGAGGAGAAATTTCATTGAAGAAGATATACAGGTGGCAAATAAGCACAGAAAAATTGTTTAGCATCATTAGCCATTAAGGAAATGCAAATTAAAACCATGATGAGATACTATGAAATATCTCTTACAATGTCTAAAATTTTAATTGAGTATAGAAGTGTTGGCAAGGATAAAAGAAACCAAATCACTCAATATTGTTGGTGAGAATGTGACATGGAATAGCTGTTCTAGAAAATAACTTTACAGTTTCCTCTAAAGCTAAAAACACACTTAACACATGACTCAGCAGTTGCGCTTGTAGGCATTTTATCTGAAAGAAATAAAAATCTAAATTCATGAAAATACCTGTACATACATTTTCATAGCAGCTTTATTCATTATAGCCCAAACTGGAAACAGCCCAAATGTCCTTCAATGAATGAACAAACTGTCCTTTATCCATAACATGGAATACTACTCAATAATAAAAAATAAATAGATTATTAATACATGCTCAAGGGAATAGTCTGAGTGAAAAAAATCTAGCCTCAAAAAGGTTACATATTATAAGTCTATTTATATAGCATTCTTGAAATAAAATTCTAGAGAAAGAGAACAAACTAGTTGTTGCCAGCGATTACAGCTGGTGGGGATAGGAGTAGGTGTGGCTATGAAGTGATAGCAGGGTAGTAACTTTATGGTGATAGAATAATCTTGTATTTTGATTGTATTGGTATTAATAGTTATATAAAGCTACATATGTGATAAAATTGCACAGAGCTATGCACACGTGCGTGCGTGTGTACATGCACCCACAAATAAAGGTGTGTATAGCTGGTTAAATCTGAATTAATTCTGTGGATTATACCAAGATCAGTTTCTTAGTTTTGATGGAGTACTGCAGTTATACAAAACGTGAACATGGGAAGAGGAGGAATAAAAGTGACACAGGACCTTCCCACACAGTTCTTTATAGCTTCCTGTGAATCTCTATTTCAAAATAGAGGTTTTTTTTTTTTTTTTAGCCTATATAGTATTTTATGATCCCTTCATTAAATAGTAAATCTAGCATTTCAGAGTTTTGAAATATCATTTCATATCAGTATGCCTTGGTGATAAGGTTATATATAGAGGCTTCCTAAAAACTTATTGACTTAACATATTTTTATGTTAATTTGACTAAGCTAACAGGACTAAGAACAACAAAAAAGTCTTATCAAGGTAAATAAGTTGATTGTATGAGATTAATTTTGATACTAATAATTATACTTGCATCGGGTAGCAAATTATATCACACCTACTTTAAAGCTTTAAAGTAACTTTAAAGCTAAAAATATCCATTGGCTATAAAATTGGAGAATATTACATTTTATTTTATTTTTTCTTAATTATTTATTTTTGGCTGTGCTGGGTTGCTGCACGCAGGCTTTCTCCAGTTGTTGGTGAGCTGGGTGTTTGAGCTTCTAATTGCAGTGGCTTTTCTTACTGCATAGCACAAGCTGTGGGTGCGTGGGCTTCAGTTGTTGAGGCTCACAGGCTCTAGACTGCTGGCTGAGCAGTTGTGGTGCACGGGCCTAATTGTCCCATGGTGTGTGGAGTCTTCCTGGACCAGGGATCAAACGTGGTCTCCTCCATTGACAGGTAGATTCTTTACAACCGAGCCACGAGGGGAGCCCCACAAACATTTTAAATAATATACTTCTTTTTTTCAATAGTAACTTTTGTGATCCACACTTTTCATAAAATTGATGAAATTAGGGATAGAATAGGCCTATTTGCTTATCCTATTTAAAATGTTTCCTTTTTTTAGATGTGTGTATTTACTGCCTTACCAAGTCTGACATTAAATAATGTAGGGCTCAAAATGCTTGCCTCTGAAGTGAAGGGAGAGGTAAACACATATTTAGGATCTTCAACTAGTGGTATATTAAAAACTATTAGAAGCTTTGCTCAGTAATGCCTTTACTCATTTAGTAGATATTTATTGAGCTTCTGTTAATTCTAGGATATTGTAGTAGAAATTATAGGAGGAATAAAAAATGAATAAGATATTGTTGTTCAGTTGCCAAGACTTGTCCGACTCTTCGTGACCTCATGGATTGTAACACACCAGGCTCCTCTGTCCTCCGCTAACTCCAGGAGTTTGCTCAGATTCATGTCCATTGAGTCTGTTACCTCTGGCCTAAGATAACTTGCAGTCTAATAGGAGGCCACATGTTTACATATGATCAGTGCCATAGAAATGGTGTAATTGGTGTGAGTAACAGGTCTGGTCAGGAATCATTTCCAGGCAGAGAGAGAATAACAGCTGTGGTAGATCTAACGTATGAGGCTAGGAGGAGCTTCTTCATGGGGTAGTGCAAAGATAGGGAAAGCATAAAGTGGGTACAACGACCAGAATAAGTAAATCACAATTTCTGAATCCCAAATTGGGACACAAAACTGACAATGATGAAGTTGTATTAATGACGAAAGTAGGACTGAGGAGTTGACACCAGGATTGCCATAGGCATAGGGGATGTACAGTTTGCTAAGAGTGAGTTAATTGACCCCATTGTGTTTGCTCTCCTAATTCCATGTTAGAGACGTTGTGACTCCTGTTAGTTTTTAAATCTTGCTGTACTTTTCCATGTGTTAAAATATATTTCACAGATGAATTTTTATTGCAGATTCTTATTCTTTTAATGTCAAATAGAAAGTCACATTGACACAAGTAGTTATTTTGGAGACAGACAGTAGTGTACACTGAGAGAGTCAGCCTGCAAACCTAGCCAGTATCGTTCTGGCGAACAATAAATAGGTCACAGCATGCGTGTGCTCCTCTGCATGTCATTCTGACTCCATCTTCGACACGGTTAGGGCACGGCACAATTTAGTCAGCCGTAAGACGCCACCTTTATGGCTACAGAAATACCCAGGAAGATATTTTTAGGCCTGCCTCCTCGTTTTCTTCAATATATACTTTTAAAAACTCTATGTACTGTTAGTAGTTTTCCTCACACAAATGGTAACATACCCATAAATTTTCAGAAGCATATAGCTATTCTTAGGGGGAAAAGATTCCCATGTAAAGGAACCCCTGGAATATAATAGACCCCCACTTATTTGGTCTCTGCCAAATTATTTCTCTAGGTTTTCCATTCTGAGTAGGAATAAAAGGTGAAGAAGGTGCCAGACTCCTTGTGTTCATGCCCTAGGTCTACCTTAAGTGCCACTTTTTCTTCCAGATGTACTTTCTTCCCACAGGAAAACATTTTGCTTCTCTCTGCTTAGACTACATTCCTGATGCTACTCATCCCCATCCCTTAGGGCATGCTCTCTTCTCTCTGCTCCGTTCAGCATCCTGCTTTATTCCTCTTGTAACCTTTTACTGGCCATGTTGCCTCTGTAGCCACGTGTATCCCATAGAAGTCTACTGCTCGTCTTCACTGGCCTGTGTGACTACTGTTTCTGCTTCAAGACCAGTAAACCAAGCCGCCTTTCTTTGACACCCTATCACACCCTGAACCAATCACCTAGTCCAGGATGAGCTAAACAAGGAAGGGAATGCCACGTGAACTCTCTAGAAAAGCAGACTGTCCAGATTTTTATTTAGATCACATCTTCTTCAATTCAGTTAATTGTGGTTGTACAAATTTTATAGTATTTTTTATTATTATTGCATGTGTGTTTGTATGTTTTAATGGTGGTTTAAGGCAGCAGTGCTGAAAAGACTGATGGAGAGCTTGATAATTATCATTCTGAAAGATAAAATGTTCTATGCATTTATCACAAAATTATATAAAATTAGCACATTAAAATCTACATAATGCTGTGAAGGCATATTTTTATTAAACTTAATCTAAGTAGATAGAGTGATGAGAAATGATTGCTATGATGAAATTCTAGTCTCATTTTGAGGGGACAGAGTGTTATTAGAATCATTAAGATATACTAACTAATACTTTCTGCCCACAAATTTATTAGTTTAAATCACTGTTTCCTTTTATTTCTCTCCAACCCACCACCTTTCTTCATAATTTGTGTAGAATATAGTCTAGTTATCTCCCAGAAATTCCTCCCAACCAGCTCATGCTAGCACATTTAAATTTACTTCTCTGAATCATGTTGCCAAGAAAACAACTTAATTTCAATAAAACCCAGAACATTGCAGAGATATTATGCTATTTATTCATGTGAGTATTTAAAAAGCGGCAGGATTGTCATTTAACACAATTTAAAGGCTTAAAAAAATCTACTGAAAGGTTTCATGTACCATTTGCAATACAGTCTTTTTCATTTCTTTTTCAGAATAACTGCTAAATTAAAACTCAACTTTTTGGTTATACTCTCTATACTCTCAGAGAAGTCATCTTGGCTTTCAACTATCAGTTTTCTAAAATAAAATAATCATTTTTTGAAAGAAATGTTTTATGATCCAATGTTGTCTATTTGTAAACTTTGAATTTTCTTTACAGAAATAAAGATGCTAAATAAAAGTTTGACAGTGTCCCAGAGAAACAATGTATGCCTTGAAGAGGAAATGAAAAATCTGAAGTTGTTGTCAGATGCAGCCATATTGAGATCTCAGCAGATTCAGACATCCAAACAACAGGAAGTAAACTTGCAAACCAGATGCCATGACTTGCAAAAGGAAGTACTAGGTAAAAGAGAATTATTTTTTGCTGTTGTTAGCAACTAGCTGTAATAAGGAAATGTATAAATTTTTATTTCTCTTATAATCACAACAAAAATCTTGTTTTAACTAGTTTGTGTTATAAATATACCTAATTATTACCACGCCAATAACTGATTCTGTTAGAAGTGTTTGCTATCACCCTTTCCTAATCTGCCATTTAGAGTGGCAAGTATTAAGTGAATATAATAAAGATTTTTCAATTACAGTGAGATTTCAGGAAAACAAAGTAGGAGTTATTTTTGTATATCATCATCCCCAGTGGATAGTGGTTTAAAATACTGAAAGAATATACAGCATATGCTGTTATATAAGGTAAGTCCAAGTTAGGTGTTCCTTCATTTTTCCTAATGAAAAGATTAAAAATTATGTTTTGAGAGCCTTGGACAAGGTTTTAAAATTTTACCTTAGAACATTGAGTATATCAGCAGTAAGACTGTGGGGATTTGTACTTTTTCCTAAAGGCAGTGAGAAATCATTGACAACTAGTAATCAGGAGAATGATATAACGTAAGAAGTGTTTTAGCAAAATTAAGCTGTTAGCACTGTATGGAGGTGTTCTGAACATCAAAGAATTGGAGTCAGATAGCCATTTAGAAAACATGTTTGCTGGTAACCTAGTCCCTAGGTTACCATAAGACACTGAAATAGGGTAGAACATAGAACACTAACATTTTTTAGGTGGTAATATGTACTAGGGGCTTTCCAGGTGGCTCAGTGGTAAAGAAGCCACCTGCAGTGCAGGTGATGCCAGTTTGATCCCTGGGTCGGGAAGATCTCCTGGGGAAGGGATAGGCTACCCACTAGTATTCTTGCCTGGGAAATCCCGTAGACAGAGGAGCCTGGCAGGCTCTATGTTGTTGTTTTTGTTTAGTCACTAAGTCTTATTTTGCGACCCCATGGACTGTGTAGCCTGCCAGGCTCCTCTGTCCATAGGATTTCCCAGGCAAGAATAGTGGAGTGGGTAGTCATTTCCTTCTCCAGGGGGTCTTCTCAACCCAGCGATTGAACTCCCATCTTTGGCATTACAGGCGAATTCTTTACCGCTGAGCCACCAGGGAAGCCTATGTTAGCACTGTATATAAATTACTTCTGTTAGTCCTCACAATGACTATGAGTAGCAGGTATAATTATCCCATCTTAAAGAGGAGAGAATGAAGGCCCAGAGAGGTGACATACCTGTTCCCACATAACTGGTAAATGGCAGGAAATCAAAGCAAACCTAGCTGGACTCCAAGACTCATGCTTGTTACACTGTGTCTCCTTGGCCCTATCCATGGCCGCACTAGGGAGGCTCAAATAAAACCAGAGTTGAGAGGACTACCCAGGTCTAGAGAGGTAAGCGCCTGGCTGAATAGACAAGGGAATGCAGAAGATCACAGAGGGCTCTCAACCTCCTTGCTGGGGAGTATTTAATGACAGAGTTCTCCAGAGAGAGAACCTAGTTTTGAAAGGTAAGTTGTCACATGAATGTGGAAGCAATATGAAACTGAATACAAATTTTAAAATCAGGTATTTTAATTTGTCTCTTATCAATTAGTCTGTCAATTAGATTTTCCCAACTTTCTATTGAATTATTAGAACTTTGCAACAATTTTAAGGGCAGTTTATATAGTAAAGTAATTATTTATCTTCTATATTCATTTTTTTCTAATGTATAATTTGTCTATTGATTTTTCACAGTAAATTGCACTATATATCAACATTTTTGTTTTGGCTATTATAAAATTATTGTATTTTATTGTTTCTAGTTAGTCTTAGTTCAGAAAGTCCATTTCATTTCTAGATTATACATATAGTCTCTTGGATTTTCTTTCATTTAAGTCATTAATACATATGCAGTTTACCTTTTATATGGTATGAGATTTGGGGTCCAGTTTTATTCTTTCCATGTGCATAGCCATTTGTGTCAGCATTGTGTATTACAATAAGTAATCTATCCTTTACCTACTAAATAAAACTACTATCTGTCATATGGCAAAATTTCAAAATGCTGACATCTATTACTATATTCTCTTTTCTGTTCCACTAATTTATTGGATGTACCATTAATATCATATTCATTAGACTTAATAGCATATTCTCATAACTGGTAAGTCTTTCTTCTTCGTTCTTACTTTTTAAATACTTTAAAAATATATATTTTTAAAAATATTTGGAAGTTTTCTTCAATTTTAACTTTAAGATCATTTATTCACCTCTAATCCAAAAACTCTGATAGAGATCTAGTAAAGTTTTTCTCTTCCAGTCTGTATACTTTTCTTACATATTCACAGGTAGATATTTTTCCACATAAAATTTAAAGTAATTTTATTCAACTCTAATCCCAACAAGAATTCTAATTGGAATTGTATTATATTTATACTAATTTTTAGAGAGTTAATATTTTTAGTGATATTAAGTCTTTTTAATATTAATATTATAAAAGTTTTCTCATTCAAGAATATGACATGTCCATTAGCTTCTTTAACTGTTGTTTTTAATGTAGTGAGCATCCTTGTATCTTTTACAATTTTACAAAAACACACTGCTGAAAAACTTTGAGGTTTAAGCAGAAATTAAAGTGAATATAAAATATCTGAACTTGTATGGTGTTAAAAAACACTACGTATGAAGAATTTGTGGGATGCAGCCAAAATGATGCTTTGAGGGAGATGTGTAGCTTTAAATATTTACATAAGAAGGAGGTAATAAACTCAACATAAAAGAAAAAATACAATAAAAATAAGAGAAGCAGTCAGTGAGATAGAAAACAAAAATATGATAGAGAAGATAAACAAAAAAGCCTTGATTTTTAAAAAAAATAATAAAATAGACAAACCTCTAGTAATTCAATCACAAGAAGAGAAAAGAAACAAATGAAAAATATAGGGAATGAAACAGGAACAATAACTGCAGATAAAGAGTAAAAAGAAAAGTGAATGCTGCCAATAACTTTGAAATCTTACATGAGATGGACATATTAGAAAAATATATCTCACCATGACTTACTCAAAAAATTAAATGTTCCTATAACTATTAAAGAAATCAAAGCAATATTTTCTCACCAGAAAAAGGCTAGATTATATTTTACAAGCAATTTCTACCAACTTTCAAGGAAGAGAGGATCCTAATTTTATACAATATTTTCTAAACAACTGAAAAATTAGAATTATTTCCCAACTCATCCTATAAGACCAAGGTAACCCTGTTACCAAAATCAAGACAAAAATATTAAAAGTAATATTATAGATACATTTATGTTACAAACATCAGTGTAACATTTTCAACTGTATATTTGATACTTTCAAAATATTTTGAACCACTTGAATATATTCCTCATTGATAAAATTAAATAAAATTATGTAAAATAAAACTCTTAATATGCCATTCTATTATTTCAGACTTCATAGAGGAGGACAAATTTAGGATAGATTTGCTAAAACATACATTTCATAGTTATAAATAACTTTTTAAAAAATGCAATCCCCCTCAAATCAAAGGTTATTATTCTTATCTCTCTTTTATTTCATCATTTTAATCTGATTTCTAAGATAAGCCACTTCCTTGAATGTTTTTGTTTCTTAAAAGAACAGTAAAACACTAGAGAATGTGTCTTATATTGCATGTAACAGACAGTTAAGGGTTAAGTCAAGTAACTGCCTTTCTATATTTGAAGGAAAGAAGTAATTTACTGACATAAGACAAGAGAAGAAAAGAAAAACATTTTCACTAACTAGGAACCCTCTCTGTGCCAGTCATTTGGCTAGCACTAAACATCTTTCATCTAATCCTCATAGTATTCTAATGTGTGCATGCAGTCCTGTCCAATTCTTTGTGACCCTATGGACTGTAGCCCGCCAGCCTCCTCTTGTCCGTGGGATTCTCCAGGGAAAAATACTGGAGTGGGTTGCCATTTCCTTCTCCAGGGGATCTTCCTGACCCAGGGATCAAACCTGGGTATTTTCGGTCTCCTACATTGGCAGGCGGGATCTTTGCCACCTGGGAAGCCCCAATCTAATGTGTAAGCTTTTAATATTTTTATCAGACACAGAGAAGTAGGCCATGGTCACACTGCTAAGATTCAAACTCAGGTCTCTGTTGGGCCAAAGCTTGTTAGCTCTTTAATCATTTCACTCAGTTTCAAAAAGGCATATGAAAACACTGAACTCCTTTTCTGTGTTAAAAAAAAAAAAAAGAAGGGGATGAATTTCCACCCTCCACTTTACTCTTACAAAAATGGACCATTAACTTAACAAGTTTTCTCAGAATTAAAGCTAAGGAAGTGTTTTCCAAAATTGTCTGGCCACAAGAATATCCAGTACTGTGGAAATCTGTGTGGGAAGATAATAAAGGAACCTATTGAAAGTGTATATTCTTGCACATCAGTTCAAACACATTCAGTATCTCCAAGATTCTTAGATGCTGTACTCTTAATAAGTGCTCAAGGTGATTCCTGTGATGAGGCAAATTTTGTACTAGTTTAAAAATAAGAATAAGGAAAATAGGAAAAATCATGTTCACATTCTAGCATAGTAAAAAAACATAGAAATGGCTTAATTTAAAAGAAGTGTTTTGTCACTGGTTCCACTATCATTTGGCTTTTTAAGATTCTAATGTCTGGTCTCTTCAGTCTTTACTCAGATTTTAGCCTTACAATGGGAGAGTCTCTGCTCTTAACATTTTGATGAAGGTTGGTAACTGAAGCTGATGTGCTGAAGAAGTTATTAGGAATGAAAATTGTATAGCAGTAGTAAAAAAGATGAAGAACCGGGATGCTTAAATTTAGTTTTAGGAGCCAGAGTAGGCCTGTCCCCTCAACCATCAAGGATACTGGGGTGCCAGGTCCTGGGGCTTTCCACCCTCTGCCACTTGAGAGTTGGTACTTTTTAAAATAGAAAAATGTATATTATTTTTATCTACTTTTTTTGTAAGTGACTTTCCATCTTCTTTTGAGATTTGGGGTTATTCTTTGTCTGCACTGTTTAC